ACACGCTAAAAAAATAAATAATCAATAAAACACCCTTCGCCGTTCGAGACTTGAAACAGCTAACAGTAAATGGACGACTAAGACGTGTTAGAGTGGAACAGAGACAATGATAGATTATCAGCCTCCAAAGATGCATGCCATTTGTATAAAATTTCATGTGACGTATACATTGGCCGTTCTATGACCTTTCCACCAAGTTCAAGGCAAAATTGCAAAGTGCCTGTCAAAGCCGACGCTGTTTGCATTAGGAGAAGAACGTGAGCGATCATTACTTTGTGGCTGTTTGACGCTCTACGCCATTTTTCGCTTCCAAGATTTGCAAGATTCCCCGACTTAAATGCCGCTCTCCCCACCCCCGGCCTTTTCTCGCCCCCGCCTCACCCGCCGAGAGACCTTTTAGAGAAGCACTTGACTGTGTGTCCTATCTCAAGGGACCTGCAGATGTCCAATCATGGATGACCTTTGACTTGTTTTGATCTGGTCAAGTGTGAGATGTTAAATTAATTATTTCCCCGCTCTCCACCTACGACAATTTGTGCGCTGAAACGATCGGTGGTGCAGACAAGAGTAAGCTGTAACAGTTAGTCATGTTGGAATAGTTGGTCTTTAGAAAGAGGTTAACGGGTGCACGCTTTAGTATTACTAGAAATTTCTGATGCTCTAAACTGTAACAGCTGTTGCTCACAAAGTCTACACCTTGTTTATTATTTTGTCATCACCTTTACTGCTCCTCTTGACATGTCTGACCGCAATATATTTTTTAAATATAGGTAGAGATTTACGTCTCAATCGACACAGTTTAAATCATTTAGGAGGCGGGTTTTGATCCTGCCTGTCAGGGCCATGACGGGTGGCAGAGAGGAATACAACATCCTATCACAAAGCCGAAGATACTAGATAAAGATTTTTACCACCCAGGAATCGAACGCGGGTCTCCTGCGTGCGATGGCAAAGCGCCTAATAATGTTCTAATAATGTTATTAAACTTAACAAACAAATTTGTTTCAAAATAAACTAACTAAATTAAAAACAAACAGGCAAAAAAACAAGCAGACACACAAGCAAACAAACACACAAATAAAGAAACAAGCACACAAGCAAGCAAACAAACAAACACACAAACAAAAACAAACAAACAAAACGTACAAACAAACAAAGTACGAGAGAAATATTTTGTTCCTTCAGGAATGGGGCCTGTGTACGCTGTGTGGAGCGGCGGGAACTCGGCGCCGTGTTGGTCAGTGCGTCATTAGAAAGCTTGACCACGCCAAACCCGCCTCTCCCTGGTACCTGGACGCTGTCCTTGGCTCCCTGGATGATGGGCTTCCTTGTAGGTGAGGGACACGATACACTTAATCAAATGCATACACACACACGCGCGCGCGCACACACACACACAAACACATGCACACACACATACATATTATAATTATATACGTGTACAATCACCTTCACACACACACATACGCACGTGCACACACATTCACA